CTATCTCAACAACATTAAAAAAAATAATAATAATAATTAATATTAGGTAGCTTTCTGTAACGGCCCAAATCCACTGCTAGCCGATATTGTCCTCTTTGGGCTTTCTCTTTCGAGCTTCCCCTCAAGGCTTTAAAGTGCATCTGCTAGGGGAAGGTTTCCACACCCTTATAAAGGGTGATTTGTTCTCCTCCCCAACTAATGTGAGACATCAAAATCCACCCCTCTTCGGGGCTAGCGTCCTCGCTGGCATTCTTTCCTTCCTCCAATCGGGACCGCCCTCCAAATCCACCCCCCTTTGGGGCCAGCGTCCTTACTGACACACCGCCTCGTGTCTACCCCCTTAGGGAAACAGCGAGAAGACTAACACATCATCCGGTGTCTGACTCTGATACCATTTGTAACGGCCCAGATCCACCTAGCAAATATTGTTCTCTTTGAACTTTTTCTTCCGGGCTTCCCCTCAAGGCTTGCGCGTCTGCTAGGGGAAGGTTTCCACACTCTTATAAATGATGATTTGTTCTCCTCTCCAACCAATATGGGACATCACACTTTCAGTCTAAATTTTATACCTTATCGATTAGTTAATTATAAAAATTGTGAACATCAAGAACTAATAAGACACAAAATTGAAAGATCATGCAACAACCTGTAAGACATAATTGAAAGATCATGAATCAGTTGTACAGTTTTTAAATTTATGAACCTTTTAAAACAAAATTGAAAGTTTGGAGACCAAATACACAAACTTGATAGTTGAGAGATTAAACCTATACTTTTACCTGTTTAACAATGTCTGTCGAGATTCTTATTGACTTCGTCACCTAAATTCAACGACAAAACAGATGATTATAATATGAAAGCTTTCACAGAGATTCAATGGCCAAGTTAAAAGATTCAAAATTATTTTCAAACTATTTTAAAAGTTTTTGCAGAGATATGTATGAATGACCATTTGCAGCATTGTTCTTGAAGAGATCATCAAGATCAAGAAGCATTTTCTTTTCAGAAGGCAGAGCAAAAGACAAAAGAGAATCAATTTACAAGGCTAATGGAATACAATTTAGAAGCCCAAGAACAATAAGCATGTGAATACTGAAGATAGAAGCAGCCCATCACACATTCATAAGCTTTATCTCATCCTCAATTGTCACGATGTTGATGCTTTTCACTTCAATCTGTGCTGAAAATGGTAAATTTTCATGGGGTACTTAGTCCTTTCATTCCAATAACAATTTTAAACTAAAAAACATTGGAGTTTTACATTTCTCATATTTTCTTCATTCCAAACACCAAAAAATAAAGTAAAAGTCATTTTAAGTCAGGTTATGAGATTTGATTGATGAATGAAATCAACTTTGGAATCGATCTCAATCGATTCAAAAGTTCAATTAGAAAACTCGTAGCTAACATACGCTTTTCGGTTCCCACTACGCAAGAGTTTGTACCATTCACAAGAAGTTGCATGCCTAAAAATCAACCCACCTCCTTTTTTTTATCTACGAAATAACATTACCAACTCGTAGGCCCTAACAAAAGGTGATATGAAAGAATGTGTCTTAATCATGCTACAAAGATTTCATGGTGGATGACAAGATCCATATATGTTGTTTAGATTTAAAGAGGTTTTATTGTATTTTATTTAAGTTTTAGAAAATTATATTAATCAAGATGAATTACCTCAAGCAGATGGAGTATGAAAAATTGCTGGAGGTAACCAGGGAGCGAAATCTTATTGTTGACATTAGATTTGCTGCGATGGCCTTGGTATTAGCAACTCCTCATAATCATCCACAACCACCTACGTAGAAAAGCTTTGTATTAGTAGCAACCTTAAACAACTAAAATAACTAAACCTACAGGAATGTTAGTTTGAGAGCTCATGTTGGTGGGTATGGCTACCTCAAATGTCTTGCCACCATAGGTATACTCAACATACAACTGTTTTGGTTCTCCGGGGCACGGATCACAAAATCCCATGATACCCGACTTCTTTACCCCATCATGGAGCTGCATCAAATAGATAGAGTAACTTAATGAAATATGGAGTTCCAAGTGTATCTATGCACGTATGTCAGTGTATTTGAGCTAACTAGTGAGCACCTTGCACCATTCAGTCACGACATAATATATAGTACTCACTGACATTTAAGTTTTCAGGCAGTTGGTCTTTAATTCGACTTAAATCGCATCAGCCTTAGGGTGCGATCAAGAAGTTGAAGTTGTTATGGGTCTGTTGCATGGGAACGGGTTCATTCTAGCACGACCGCATGGTTTCTTATTATCACCGGCCCTCATGGAATCTCATAATAAATTAATAGTCTAATGCTAATGCATAAGTGACTATTATTTTCCAGATGACACCAGTATTATTTGTAGCCAGAAAAACACAGGATATAAATAAGTCATAAGCAAATACCTTTAGCTGCCCAGAATCATTAACCAAGAAGTTTAGCGGCAAAGTCACATCTATAATTCTTAGAGACGACTCATCATTTGGTTCCATTAGTTCATCCCCTTTCTTCAATTCCTTCTGATTTCCATAAATTGCTTTAGTAATAACAAGTCCACCAATTTCAGATTGCCTGTTTCTTTTCCTATTGGCTACATTTTGCAGTAGCTGTTGAGCTTTCTCAGCAGCAGCTCTTGCTTCTCGCACCTACATTCAGAAATAACATATGTTAAACCGAAGTCGCCAATAAAAAGTTTTAAATACTTGAGATAGAAGGCAGTCCCAAAAGAATCTAGAAAAGGATCTATAAAATACTATACACATTGGGAATACTATACACATTGGAGCAAAGCTGCCGAAAAGGATCTAGAAAATCAGAAATCAACATTTCAACGTCAAAGAAGCAAGCCTATCAACATCTTCAACTACACTCATCTTAAACCAAATAATGGTAATAATAACGATAATAGTAACATCTATATTTTCACATAGGCAATTCAACTTTTTTACAGGCTACATGTATCCAAAAGCTAAATAAATTGTACGAGAAATCAATACCTGAGCAGAAGTTTTTTGCATGTTCTCTAACGCCTTTTGTTTTTCCCTTCTCTGGTAATAAGGTTTTACCAAAAATTTCTGCAATCAAAGCACAGATGATTTAAAAAGCTAAGAGCCACGTCAAAGGACTATTTCTTTGTAGAAAAGGGAGGTAATCAACTACAATGGTCTTCGCCTCCACTTACTTCTTAATACAAATCTCAAGAGATGAAGGAAACATTAGTTGGTCAGGGAACTAATAGAAAAAACTAAAGCCTACAAGCAATCTAATAGTAACAATGTGTTTATATAACTATTGTTCAACATTTTTTTTCGTGCGCCTAATTTTGCTCCTTTTCCTAATTCCAACAAGGCACAAATGACAAACCAATTCCTTAAAAGATAATTAAGAGGTCGATCAAACATTCAATAGTAAAAAACCTTGAGCAAAAAGTAAGCCGAAGTGGGAAAAATGAATGCTCCGGCGGCAAACACAGGGTTCAAATGCCTGGAAATCAGAATCTGCATGAAAAAGAAAATAATGGAAATCAGAATCATTAATTGTAATGGAAATGACGAAATGACGAAGTTGTTTAACATTGTTATTGAAATCAGAATCTGCATGAAAAAGCCAAGTTTAAATTCATCCATCACAGCTAAACAAATTAGTGGAGAAGTTTTGTTACTTGTACCACAATGTTGTTAAAGAAAATGGATAAATAAAGTTGGAACACAGACTCAAGCCTCAAGCATATAGAGACCAAAAGAAGAGAAAATTGGAGATCAAACTTACTGGAATGATCAATTTTTGACCTCCACGATGCAATTCAAACTTCCAAAAGATACCCTGGCAAGGAAATATAAGATGAGAACACAAACATACAATGAAGCAAGCAAAATAAAAAACAGGAATCAATTATTCAAGTTGAGAAACATGTTTCCAGTTTACGGATACCAGATCAGGGAATAAATCTTCAAAGAAATAGAATAAAAGAAATAATAATAATAATAATAATAAACGCTGACCATTCACAAATCATTCGAAGTCCAATCTGTCATCCAGAAGATAATTCTTCAATGCTTAATGGCAAATAGGCATGCAAGCTCAAAGATCAGTGCACAACAATCAATTTATTTTTCCACATATGAACGGATTACCTGAATCCCAATTGAATACAACATCCGAACAGTACTGAATTTGGATAATTTCCTCCCGCCACCAAGTTCAAGCTCAAGCATGGTGCTGCAATATTAACATCTGAAGTCAGCAAAATAAAAATGCCAAGAGGCACTCCCAAGCTAAATGCTAATGTGGAGCATTAACACAAGTATTTCTTATTGGGGCATTATCCCCATATCACACATCCCATAAACAAAATAAAGAGAAAAAAAATGAGCGAACGATTACGGAGCTACAAAACAATTCCAATGGCATAAATCAACACGGGGAGTAATTACAAAAATCTACGCAGAGGAAAGACCATCTTGAAATTATGCATTTAAATGAGCCCAAAAAAGAAAGAAGAATCTCTTTAAGATTTCTAGAGTTACCGAGAAAAGTTCCTCAATTCTTTCCTATCAAATTTTCTAACGACTAACTAAATAGCATTTTCCATAAAATTTCAGTTCTCCTGTTAAAGTTGTGCCCAAAATACTTATTTCGTGTGTTCCTTAATCAACAATCGCAAACGCCAAGATAAATTAAACTTGGCATTTTGTAACAAATACTACATTATTAACAACTTAAAGGGAAAGAAGACAGACAACATCAGGAAAGATGTAGCATTGGAGAAATTGACCATAATCCTCAGAGCAACTACCTTCCAACTCTCCCAGCAATTCGGCCATGAGACTTTACAGAGAAGCGATGAGTATAATGGGCAGATGCCCCAAAAGAACTTGTGCTAAACTGCAAGCGCAACACATGAATAATGATAAGGTGAAACGGCAGTCAAAGAGACATGAGTTGTGAAATCTTCAAGGGGGAAAAAAAAAACTATTGACAGATCAAATGAATTTAGCAACTTGTACGAGGCCATGATCAAAACCAAGGAAGATTTGACAGACTCAGAGAATCACAAACGTTAGTATGCCAATGTTGTGATGTCTATATCATCATGACATCTGATACTCAAATCTTATTTCCAGATTCTAAATTCCAATGCCTTAAATGTTTTCATTGAGAATAACTAATGAAAAGCAGCAGAAAGTGAAATACCTTCACCTCTCCAGCAACAGACCTTTTCTCTTCTTTCTTCTGCCATCCAACTGCAACAGATGACTCTGGGCCTAAAGTAAGTTGTATCTAGAAAAGGGAAGGCAGTAATCAGGAAGCAATACAAGCAGCAAATACAGTGATAAGAAACTTAAAGTCTAGATGATAAGTTAATTTTATGCCTTCAGGTACCATTAAGTTAATTTTATGCCTTCAGGTACCATTTGTGCACATATTAACAATCTGCTAACAAGAATATAGAACATAATTTGATTAGGGGAAAAACAGCATACATTTCCGTTTGCCGTTTCAGAAAGTTGGCGAGTCCAAGAATTGGACAGATTCAATGATCCATCTTCCAATGACATTGAAATACCCATTGTTGCCGTTGAGTGGGATGTAAGATGACTAAACAAATAAGAAGAGAAGGAGCGAAGGAGAGAGGTAGGTGTGGGGTTAGAGCAAGTAAATTTTCCTAAAGTCATCAAAGATTCAGGAGAACCGATATCTCACCGAGATGCTTGCACCCCAATAAGTGATCTTAAGCCAGCTGAAGCCATAAATTCTACAGAAGAAACTGAAGAAAACTGATGACGAAACAATGCAGAAGCAGCCCCGCCACCGACGTTCCCAGTAACTGCCAAATTTCCTCCTATTCCAACGGTATTATTTTTTGAAATTTGAGACTGAACTTCACTTGTAATGGCCATTCTAAAATTTTGGTTCAAAAATAAATGAGTAGCTGGATAACATAATAACAATAAGACTAGGCAAACTTCATTAATATATAGACTTATTAATATACACTGGATAACAGCATAGAAATGAAGTCTCATATCTTGTTCAAATGAAAAAACATCACTAACCAATGTTCGAATCAGAAACCTCAAGATTGTAGTACCAGCAATATAGATTCTATTTAAATTTATGAAATTCAAAAAGAACATAGAGGTGAAACGGCTATTTCTAATACTTTGCTTAAATTGAAGTGCACGGTGGGGGATAGAATTGAAAGATTTCATTACCCTCTCATGATGCCATCGCCCACCAAAAAATGTGGCAAAGACATATTGGCCAGTATGGTACCAGAAGGTCTGAAATGTGCTGAAATTTTTTCTTCTTCCTTCCTTTTCCGCAACCTTTCAAGCTCTTCCTTTATCTCATCTGCTCTATTCAGCTTTGGACCTAGTTCCAAACCAGAAGTCAATCCTTCCATGCCATAGATGTCATATATCTGTCTTTTATTCTCATCGGTTAAGATTTCGTATGCTTCGCAGATTCGTTGAAAGTTCTCTGTAGCAATATCTTTCATCTGAAGAGCCAATGTAGCTACAGAATTAAAACTAGATGATAGATACTCACAATTAAAATATGTTTCCGCCGTTTATTTCTTCTTCTAAAGATTCTGAAAAAACATGAACAGAACTTATATAGTGATTGAACACAATTCCTAGAGAATTCCATGTTGAAATTAAGCACATTACCTATTTGCAAATTAAATATAAAAAACTGTTCACAAATTTACTGATCAAATAGCTATGCTACCTTAAGGGTTCCCAGTAAAGGCAAGGTACAATCTACAAATGTGCATTACACAGTAGAAATATCTTACAAAAATCGGGATGGCTAAACCCACTCAAGAATTGGAATCAAGCATATCAAAAAGCCACAAACAATGCCACTCAGTTAATCAAACACATTTCACCATACCATTGATCACAAAGAAAAGCCAAAATAGCGCCCAGTCAACTATCCCTGATCGCAAATAACTTCAACAGAAGTGCAAATAACACAAAAACATCACTACAACAAACAAAACTAAAAAGCTGGAGAAAACAAAATTGTAATACGAATAACGAAGAATCGGTTAACGATCAGAGAATTGTGAGTATGAAATGGAACATACATGAGGAGATTGATATTTATCGGGATGATAGACTTGAGCCCATTGGCGGTAAGCTTTTCGGATTTCTTCGTCGGAAGCTTCGGGTGAAATGTGAAGCAGAGCGTACAAATCCTTATTGGGAGGCCCAGCTTCTTCTTCTTCCTCCATTTTTTAGGGTTTTGGAGCAACGGCCAGAGGTTTAGCAGAGAGCAACTATGGAAGAACTGTGTGTTTGCTCTGTGGGTATTAGGGGCTTTTGCTGAGCCGGGGGCGGAGGTGCTGTGAGGTTGGCAAGGTTACCGGCTCGTGTTTTTAATATTACCGCCGCTTCTTTGGATATCATTTTCAATTAAATTTTAGGTTAAATTACAAAATTCTTTTAGTTTTATTTTATTTTATTTTAATTTTAATTTTGTTGGTTTCACTTTGATCTCGGTAATTTAGGCTTACTCCAATTTTTCATCATGTTTTTTTATTTTTATTTATTTAATGTTAAACGGTGGACGAGTCAAAACATTTACCCACAGTAACATCTTAAGTCTACCGTAAATAGATATTGTCCACTTTAGTCCGCTATGTATCGTCGTCAGTCTCACAGTTTTAAAACATGTCTACTAAGAAGAGATTTCTACACTTTTATAAAAAATATTTTGTTTTGCTTTCGGGATCTCACAGTCCATCCCTTTCAAGGGTCCAACATCCTTGCTGGCACAGCGCTCGGTGTTCAGCTCTAATACTAATTGTAACAATCCAAATCTGTCGCTAGTAGATATTGTCCACTTTTGCCCATTATGTATCGTCGTCAGTCTTACGGTTTGAAAACGCATCTATTAGAGACACTTATAAAGAATGTTTTGTTTCTCTTTCGGGATCTCATAATACATATTTTAGATCAAACTGGAGTGGTTCGGCTCGTCAGTTGGTCGTTCATGCTCGAATTATATCACTTACATGAGTCTTTAATGAAGTCAAGGTTTCACGGTGACCAATAATGTTCTGATATGCTCCACTTACCGTTAAAATCACCTAATTAGCTCTAGTTGAGTGCTTCAAGACCGTTTTGACCCAATAAAGAGTCCAAACAAGTCTCGATAAAGTTCCAAGTCGACGAGATGAGACGTGACGTCGCGTTCAAAGGACCTTGTGAATTTATAATTTTTTTCGATACAAGTTTATAAATTTAACATAAAAAAGGGACAAAAACAATCAAACACCCCAAGGATACCTAATTTGTTTCTATTTAGACCTTATATTTTTTAAATATTACAGTTTTACTCTTAAATTTTGAGTTTAATTTTCATTTGATCTCTAAATTTAAAAACGTTACATTTCTGTAATAATCCAAGCTCACCGCTAGTAGATAATGTTCACTTTGGGCCGTTACATATCGTCATCAGTCTCACAATTTTAAAATGCATATGCTAGGAAAAGGTTTACACACGTTTATAAAAAGTGTTTTGTTCCCCTCTTTAACTAGTGTGGGATCTCACAATTTACCCCCTTGGAGCCCAGCGTTCTCGTTGGCGCACCGCTTGGTATCTGGCTCTAATACCATTTGTAACAGCCCAACCCCATCGTTATAAGATATTGTATGCTTTGTTTTATTACGTATCATCGTTCGCCTCATGGTTTTAAAATGTGTTTACTAGGGAGAGGTTCTACACCCTTATAAAGAATGTTTTGTTCCCCTCTCCATTAAGGTGAGATCTCACAGTTCACCCCCTTAGGGCCAGCATTCTCGTTGGCACACCGCTTAGTGTCCGACTCTAATATCATTTGTAACAACTCAAACCCACCGCTAGAAAATATTGTCTGCTTTGTTCCTTTACGTATCATCATTCGCCTCATGGTTTTAAAACGCGTCTACTAGGGAGACGTTCCACACCCTTATAAAGAATGTTTCGTTCCCCTCTCCAGTGAGATTTCACAGTTCACCCCCTTTGGACCAACGTCCTCGTTGGCACACCGTTTGATGTCTAGCTCTATACCATTTGTAACAATCCAAGACCACCGCTAGCAGATATTGTTTGTTTTGGCCCATGACGTATTGTCGTCAGCCTCATGGTTTTACAACGCATATGTTAGGGAGATGTTTCCACACCCTCCCAAGAAATATTTTATTCCTCTCTCCAATTAGCGTCAAATCTCACCATTTCTATTTTATGAGTTTGACTTCCATTTTGATGGCTTTAATTATTTTTATTTATGTTTGGTATTTTGTGTTAACTTTCCGTTATTTAATTAAAAATAATTATGATAGTAAATTTTTTTAATTAATTTTAATAATTATGAAAAATTAGTAAATAATTTAATTATAATTAGTAGCCATTAATAGACATTAATTATAACTATACCCTCTAGTTTTCATTATTTTTCCCTAAGACGAATATAAAATAATAAATTATTTATGATGGAAGTAGACGAGAAGCGCGAAAAAATCGGGAAAAATCGGGAAAAATTCTAATAAGACGTAGCATAAAATAAATTAATATATTATTAAATTATTATTTTTTTTTTTTTTGTGTGTAAAAAATATTTTTAAATTATCAAATAGCTCTAAATTCGTTTACCACAAATATTAAATTTAATTTGTTTGGAAGATATTAAATGGTAATTAATGAAAATAATTATATATATATAGCCATAGTCATAAAGAAAATACCAAAAATAAATAATCATTCCATAAAATTAAATTAGAAATTTTTTTTAAAGAATTCCTAAAATTCAAGTATAAATTTAAATGTTTCAGATAAATAAAATCATAAACCTCTAGCAGTGAACCGACCAGATTGACAGGTCCATACTTGTATTTCCATTGTTGATTCAAGCATAGGGTCGCTCCTCTGGTGTTTATGATTTCACGAGATATTGTGTCAAGATAAACCTTTGTAATAGCTCAAACTCACCGCTAGTAGATATTGTTCGCTTTGGTCGGTTATGTATCGTTGTCAATCTCACTGTTTTAAAATGCATCTATTAAGAGGTTTCCGCACTCTTCTAAGGAATGCTTCGTTACCCTTTCTAACCAATGTG